CTTTGATTACACACAGAAAGAGACCATTTACACTAATTTTGTGAACTTTCAAACTAATCTTTTGCACCTGAACTGATTTAGGGTTACTGTAACAAAGGGATGAGTACCTATGCAATCGAAAATATTCAGATTTTCTTTGAAGATCTAACTTACTTACATAATGTCAGCATTTTTTAGCTTTCTCAATATTGAATAGATTGTGTAGATTCGAACTATAAAGTCCCATTTGAATGTTTCATGATTGCAAGCTCAGACGGCAACAAAATGTGGAAACTTTGCAGGGGGGGTGAATACTTTTGCAAGGCATTGTATAATATTTCTTGAAGATTAGTTGAAATTATAAAGCGAGTAATATTATCCTGATACTATTACAGATATTATCCAAACAACATTTTCAGCGAATATTAATTATATAAGCTTGTCAGTATTTTTGTTATTTTACTACGAGTTATAGATGAGGAAATTATAGTCAGTGTTAGTACCACAGTAAAGATATACCATTGATGACAGTAATGGACATAGACTGACAGACAGTTTAATTTCGTGCAAAGATACACAAGGACTATCTGTGCATAGCCATCCATAATTCGAACTGATAGTCTACAGAGGAGGCAACTAGTCAACAGCACCCACCGCCAACTCTTGATCTATTTTTATCTGATCGAATAGTGAGACTTGACCATCACTTTTACAACACATTTGTGGCCCCCACGTTACAGAGAAACATTTTTCACGGTTATCGTGATTTCTATTTGGCTAATTAAGCAAAAATTACTGTTATTTAGTTGTCAGTTCAGTATCAGCAGGCTAGCGAAGCCGGCCTGTTGATTTAGGCACGCTATTCGTAATTTGTAGGTAGCGGGGTCAAAACTCGTCAACGAACGTGTTTGCCCTTTCAGAAGTGGTATTCATTGGCGGTGACTGTTGTTGACTAGCTGTCCTCCCTCTAGTCTATCACTTAAAAATTAGGGACGACTAGTGCAGATTAGTCCTTGAGTAGTTTAACGCGAAATCAAATGGCTTTGAAATCTTTTACGTACGCTTGAGAGTTTTTTTTTGTTGTTAATAAAAGTGTGTGCAACTTCCTTTCTGTGCAATTCATTGTCCAATTGTAACGTTTCTTTTCTTTTTTCTTTCTTTACATTTATGATCCGTTATAATTTCTGATCATTGACGGACTATATGTTTTATTATTCCTTAGTTTTATATTGCTGGCGTTTTTGTGCTAAATGTTTTGCTTTTGGCCTAATTACCTTGATCCATTATAATTTCTGATCATTGACGGACTACCTGTTTTATTATTTCTTAGTTTTATATTGCTGGCGTTTTTGTGCTAAATGTTTTGCTTTTGGCCTAATTACCTGAAAAGTTTTGTACGTATAAAAATAAACCATGCACCAGGTATTGTGGCCCCCTAGTGGCACAGCGGTATGTCTGCGGACTTATACTGCTAGAAACCGGGTTTCGATACCCGTGGTGGGCAGAGCACATATAGTCCTTTGTGTAGTTTTGTGCTTAATAACAAATAACAACAAAACAAGATATTGTGATTCACTTATGGTCACTAGTGTTTCATATTGTACCCCTCTGTTCCTATATTGCCTTCCGATGACTCAGCGGGAAGCTTCAGAGCTTATAACACTAAATATGAGTGTGGAAACCTGAGATGGAAGTCCCAAATTTAAGGTAAATATGCAGCTTAACGTATACAGATTTCTCAGCCTAGATTTTTTTTGAGTAGTATGCGATAAAAAAGTTCTTTCCTAATTCACATAATGTTATGCATTTTCTGTCACTTTTCACTTACTGTTTTACAAAACTTTCACATTATACCTCATCATGTTGTAAAGTGAAAGAGTTTCTATTCTAACCTATTGTCAAACCTTCTACCACATCTATTCTCCGTAACGTTGTTTACCTCAAAAACCCGAAGCTAAACCAATCTGTAGAATAACCAGTGCTAATACAAATGTCTTGGTCAAACATATCTTAAAATATTACTAAATTGTAAGTTCCTACATGATAAAACAGAATTAAAGTATACAAATCAATGTATAAATAGAAATTCATTTTTCTTTTTAAGATTAGCCTTTTTAATATACTCCCTATACTTACACAGCAAGTCTCATCCGTTATTATTCTCCTTCAACCAAATATGTTTTATTTTATATGTTTTTGTTACATGTTTTGAAATTCAAACTAACCAAAAATAGACCAGCATCAGCACCGGGTATGAAACCCGTCATAATTAGCACCACAAAACAACATACATCATAATTACAACATTCTATTGCACTGTAGTCCCAAACCTGTTCTTTGGCTTGATAAAACGCGCATCCAATTAACTTTTTAATAATTTGAATAATTACAGGACAACGATATACAAAGTACGTCTACACACGGGATCCGGATACAATTAAGATAACCCAATCATCTTTAAAATCAAAAATCAAAGTAAAAATGCTGTGTGACACATTTGTAACATAATACAGTATCAAATGCCTGAATATAATTTATAGTTAATAGCACATCGAGGTTGTGTGATTGAATCAAATCACTGGCGAGCTGGAAGTTTATATATATCAAAGAAATTACATATAAAGTTATTGTTACACTTGCAACATACTTAACAAAAACACACACACATTAAGATACAGAACGTTGGTGACTGTGGGAAAAGACAAGTTGTGTAAGAATGTGCTAGTAATTCAACACTACAGCATGGACAATGTTAGCGTACATGGACCTGTTGGACATCTAGCGCCCCTTAAGAAATTCTTCTACGCAACTATCTAAATAACACATCTGGGGGATACTGCGTTTAAAGAATACTTTCGTCTCCCGCAGCGGACGAAGAATAAGGCGAGTTGCTGTTTCACAAGGTCGGTCCCCTCGACACAAGGTGACGCTTTCTTCTGAAAATCCACCATCACAGTCTTCTGACGTTAGGCCAAAAGCTTTGCCCTATGGAAAACAGTATAAGTCTTTAAATTATCAAAAACCATGTAGGGTAATAAATGTATGAAAAAAAAAAACAAGAAATAAATCATAAAATATTGTTTGTATAACTTCAGCACACATTACGTAATAACATTCTTAAATGTAAATATATATTGTTGCGTCATCGAGGTCACGTGACTGGTGTGGCGCCACCTATTTTCTAGAACTATCCTGTACCTTGGCGAATGCTCTAGTATTTACTAGATATAGGGTAGTCTGGTATATAAAAGAGGGTGACAACGTGACGGAAAAAAATAGTGTGTGTATAGGGAATGAGTAATTGAACTGCAGTCAGAGAGAGAGACGTGTTGT